ATTCCACTGCCTCACCATGGGTAGGGCGGGGTCTCTGGGCACCTGCGCGCCGCGCGGTGCGGGATCCCGGGAGCAAACTTTCTGCCTCCAGTGGAGGAAGTGGGAGCCCGGGGGGGCGGGGTGGGGAGGGAGGAGGGGCTTTTAGTGTATCTGTGGAGTCATTCCCAGAAGTTCCACGAAAATGGAAGTTAGTCTGCCAGCCTCTCCGAGCAGCCTGGTACGCCTCACTCCCAGTACCTGGTGCCCGAGTTTTGCGTAATACCGGGGCCCTTGGGACTTCGAACTTGAGGGCTGAGGGCTGAGAAACCGCAGGTTAGCTGGCTGAGGTCCGGGGTGGGTGTTTGAACTTAGGTGTGGCATTCTGGCGTCGGGGCTGGATAAAAGCGCTTCGAGGTTTTGACTAAGCCTCCCTGCCTTTCTGCTAGGCTTGAAGAGAGATGACCGGACAATGTAACGCCCCCCCCCCACCCCGACCCCAAACTTAAATCCTCTGACTTTAAGTCCCGAACATCAAAGGCCTTCACTTGCTTTGGGCGCCTCTCCTTCCCAGCTAAGTAACGATGTGTCTTGAAATGAGAAACTGTGAGGGATGGATACAGGTGTTCGGTTGAGCTTCGCAGGTGGTTCCTTGAGAGGCATGCGTTGCAAAGGATGGCACGTGGGGTAGGAGCACCTCTCCCGAAAATTACCTCTCTTACCCTCTCTTCGCCTGTCTGCAGGGGGCTCGGACGCCAGCCAGGTACCCAACGGCAAGAGGATGAGGACGGCGTTCACTAGCACGCAGCTCCTGGAGCTGGAGCGGGAATTCTCTTCCAACATGTATCTGTCTCGACTCCGGAGGATTGAAATCGCCACGTACCTGAACCTGTCGGAGAAGCAGGTGAAAATCTGGTTTCAGAACCGCCGGGTGAAGCATAAGAAGGAAGGGAAGGGCACGCAGAGGAACAGTCACGCGGGCTGCAAGTGCATAGGCAGTCAGGCGCACTACGGGCGGTCCGAGGATGAGGACTCCTTGTCGCCGGCCTCGGCCAACGATGACAAGGAGATTTCCCCCTTATGAAGGAGGGCCACCCCCTCTCGCCACATGCTCCGGGCATCCCCAACAGCGCCCGAGGAGGCGGATACCAGCGGCCAAAACCCTCCCCCTTTCGGGGGGGGGGTCCCACCTGGAGAAGGTGTAGACAAGCATTCCGGGGGGTGTACATGCTGGGCCTGACCCTCCACGTCTCCTCCTTGACCTATCTGTTTGTGGCTCCACTCGCAGTTATAGATCTTTTTTTTTTAATGTAAATAATCTAGATTCAACTCAGTCTTGTCATATAACAAAGAAAAACAGGGTTGGTTTAACACTGTATGGGGTTTTTTTGAAAGCGCACGTCATTTTCTTTTCCCTGCTGTCTTTCAGAACCTGATAAGAACACCAGGTTTCTTGATTATTTTTTGTTGTTAGTTTTTTTTTAATGAAAGTATTAAGTTGCAAATAACTTAGAAAATTAAACCCTGTAGGTCTTGCTTTCTAAAATTTTCCTGGGGACAGTTTGAAATCCAAGGTGCTGGAAGTCCCTTTGTGAATAGTTTTATATAAAACTTATATTTATATTTATTTAAATAAATGAAACAAAATCAAGGTTTTTAATTTGTGGTATTTGCTCTTCCCAGCTTCTCCTGTCCCTCTCACCTTCATATCTAGAGAAAGGCATGGGCAGGGGAAAAAAAAAGAATTTAGAGGGAAGTGTTGACTAGAACTTGGTAATGTGGGTCTCTTGGTTGAGGGAGTTTGTGGCTTTATACGATTTGTGTCACCGAAACTTCTACCAAGAAGACATCTTTAGTCATTATGCCACATACTAGGTAGTACACTGCATCCTTCAAAATATCTCACTTCCTCACAGTTAAATAGGATAAATCATTTCATTTAGAATGACACTGACAATCAATTACAGCCAAATCTTTTATTTAGCAGGTGAAGGGGAAACTCCTTACCTAGTATATATTTTCTGTAGCAGTCCCCATGCCTCTTTTCCCCCTTCTTTATCTCTCTTAATATTAAAAGCTGAATTATGTGAAGGAATTTGAACAGTCAGAATTGTTTTAGGAAGAGCAACAATCCATCAAACAGATTGGAAGCAGACACAGGAAAAGTGACAAATGCTGCTGTAAGTGACCAGAAACAATACCGTTTTTGGTTATTCATCTAGCTAAAAAATTGGCTAGTTTTCACCACTGCCAAAAAGACAAAAGTTCAGGGATAGAGAATTATTGTGTCCAAAGACTTACATTCTCACTTTTCCGAAATAGCTCAGGGGTGCCTTTGGACTTTTGAGTCCCCCGCCCCGGTCTCCCTAACTTTAACCGAAATTGGCTCCCTTCTAGTCTCTCTTCCAAAGACCCTGCAGAGTTAATTCCTGCAAGCCTGGCTATGGAGAAGAATTACTCTGGCTCTGCCTTCAGCAAGGCAACCTGATTCTCTCCTAATCGCAGCCAGGTCTTATCCTCTAAGGGAGAGAGTGAAGCTGGAAACATGGAAACTAGGAGATCTCATTCCCTGCAAGCTGAGTCCCACAAATACTCACTGGTGTTATTTCTGATTATTTTCTATAAAGATGTCACCAAGAGGTTCAATCTATATGGAAACTGTTCACAACACACATAGACACACTTCTTCAAGTCTGATTTACTTTAGGTCTGTAGGAACTGAAACCTCACCAGGTGGGGTTGGGGCTCTAGTGTTCGAATGAGGAGAAGGGAGGGAGGATGTGACTAGGTTCCCCTGGCCAGGGACTCTCCCCAACCCCTCCCTCACACACGCGCAGACACACACTCCAGAGGCTCAGGAGAAGGAAAGTCCTCTTTCAGACTCTGAGACCTGTTGTCAACTCCCACTCTGGTGTTGGCCAGGGGCAGGCAGGGGGAGGAGATGCCGGATGGTGTCCTACAGAATAGTGTGCTGCCGCTGCTTTGTGCAGTGACCTGGGCCTGGTCCTGCGTGGTGGTTTCATCTGACTCTCCTGCCCCGGGCCTGGGAGACTCAGGCCCTGGATCGATCTCAATCTCAATCTCCCTCTCTCTCCCTCCCCACCTCCCACCTCTGTCTCTCTCTCAGCCTCAGGCCCCTCGCCCTGCCAGCCATGAAGCAGAAGAGGTGCCGGCTTGCTGACTTTCCCAAAGATCCTGTCTCCCTCCTTGCAAATAAACTGGCCTCTCCAGGCACCAGTACAGAGGTGGGAGAAATGAGGTTTCTAAGCATAAAGAATGAACATCTAAGGAAGAATTCCTTCGCAGGAAATAATAAGAAGGCCAAAGAGCCTCAGCTGCAGCTCGCAGCTCTTTGCGCTCCTGCCCAAAGCAAAGCCTCATCTGGGAAGTGGACAGACACCCCCATCCCCCCTCCCATCTACACCCAGCCTGGCCCCTCTGTCGGCCGGCGCTCGGACCTGGTCCTCCCCAAGTCCCTGCCCAGCCAGGGACTTGGGGAGGGCCTCTGGGCCCTGCCAACTGCCCCCATCCCACCCCAGGCCCTGCGCCCTGCCCTGGAGCAGGGAACCACCCACTTGCCACACCTGATGCTGCACCCACCTCCACCTTCCTGCAAAGGAGACTTGGAGCCAGTCCTCCTTGCCTGGTTTTGGGCTGCATGCATGGTCTCAGGCCCTCTCGCTCCTGCCTTTGGGGAAATTTTTTAGAAAAGACAATAAACACTGGATTTCCTGACCAGAGGCAAAAAAGATTCAGGCAGAAGTTGGACATTATCCAAAGAAAGGTCCTCCAGGATTCCCAGGCAGGTCCTTCTTGTTCTAAGACATTTGAGCCGAGTGGATCTTCTTGTCACTTTCAGGGTGGATCACGAGGTCTACTTGTTTACTATCTTACACCTCCCCAACACCTCCCCCCCATCAGTTGATGTTTTTGAGGTTTGGGAATAAGGCTTTGGGAATCTGTCTAATTTTAGATTAAGAACACCTAAGCCAACACTCAGACACACAAATACTCTGCTAAACAGTCTTGATATCAAACACCCTAAAAGAAGTGTCCCCAGATTTACTCGAGAGGAATGTCTGAGATGTGTAGGGTCACATTTGACTGTTTTTCTACCTGGGAAGCACTAGATGCTAGCTTTTCAACAAGCCCCACTTGAAACACTGAACTCTGTTCCCCAAAACATGGACTCTTAGAAGGCCTATACACACATAATGGAAAGAGAGAAAGAGAATGAAAATAAGAATTGGAAATCAGAACCTTGTTCCACTAAGAGAAAATAAGTGAGCAGCAGGAGGCTTTAGCATGCATGAGTCCACCTCTTTAAACAGGAAAAACTGAGGGTTAGGGGGGTGTGGACAGCAGGAAGAATGACCTCCTGCCATTGTGTCCTGAACCACTCCAGACATTCCTAGGAAAGAAGAGGAGCAGAGACCTTTCCCCTTCACCCTCCCACTCAGTGACCAACACAAGCCCAAGGCCAATGGCCTAACAATGATAGTGGTGCTCAGCAAGGCTTCTGGATTGCAAACCATGTCCAGGGCAGAAGCGGCCCAGCAGCTCATCCCTGGGGTGTTCAGGGCCCAGGTGATAGAGACACTGGGGATGGTAGACATCACTCCCTCTCCTTATTCTGAAGTGGTCTGAAGTGATCATCATAGTTTAGTCCCCCTGCCCCCACCCCCAAACACATACCCCTAAAGATAACCAAAGATATTTTAGGGGACACTAAAAGGGATGAGGAGATGTGAAGTCTTTGATTTCTTGCATCCTCCTCCCTCTCCTCACTCCCACTCTTCACCAGTGCTGTCCAGTTTTATCTAATCAGGATTAGAAGCGCAGTTTGCTTGTCCCACCCTGACTGTGGTCAGAGAATTGCCAGAAAGCTGATTACTCCAACTAAAGGTGGTCACAGAGGGCAGCAGGGTCTGTGTTTTTCTGTGTGTATATGGACATATGCATATGTGTGTGTGGGTGTGGGGGAACTCTATTGGTGGTGGTCATGTATGCGGAAAGAGAAGTTTAGTTTTGTTTTGCTTCCCACTTCTATCTTTCCTGCAGTTTCCACTCATTTTTCATGGTACTGCTTGGGAGATTTCTTTGAGGGAGATGGGAAGATGTCGAGCTGGGCTAGGGGGAGGAGAAAAAAGCTGACCATCGAGGGAAGACTATAGACAGCTCTAGGCAAGACCTCAGGTCCAGCCCTAGGTGTGTAAGATAAAGGGGAAGAATGATACTCCTAATAGGACCTATTTGCTAGACGAAATTGGGTTTAAAGGAGCAATCACTGCTTTAAAAGGAGCTCCTCCCATCTTCTCCAAACACTGCCTAAAGCTATCCTAGACTGAATGCAGCTCAGTGCATCAAAGCAATTGCTCCTTTATTATTCACAGGGAATCTTTGAATGTACCTGTTAAGGTGACAGACCTCTTAAAAGAGAACATTTTTCCATGCAATTAAATGGTGCATTTACTAGGCTTCTATTAACATAATTTAATATAAATCTATTTTATAAATCTTTAGGCTTACATTACTGAAAATTGAGCTGCTCTGAAAAAAAAAAACCCACGTCTCTTCCTTAAATTAGATGGAATAGAATCCAAAAACTTGCTATTCTAAGCCAGCTTGGAAATATTAAAAGTAGAGGAATCTTTTGTATTGTCTTTTGTTAATGGTAGAGATATGAAGAAAAGAGTCAGCTTGTTTCACAGAACATGAGAAATTCCACAGAAACGCCAGGCTCCCCATCCAAGCCCCTGGCACTAGGAGTGGGTAACAAAGGCTGGAACTGGGAAGGAGCAAAGAAAACAGAACTTAAAGAGATCTCTTAGGAACAGAGTTGAATCAGAGCTCCAGTGAAGAAACAACCCTGACTCACATTTGGAAGCAATGTTCTGGGAGAGAAAATCCAAAGCCTGTGAGTCCTCACAGTCCTGTAAGCTACTCCACATGGAGGGAGATACCCTGGTCTGTTCCCACAGCTGGACTCCTTCTTCTCAAGTGCACTCTCCAAAAGCCTGGGCATCCCACTGTTTCTAAAAACAGTGTTCTGTGTGCCCTTATATTGATGTCAATGCCTGCCCTTCTGCACTGGGCATTGTTTTTCTTCAAGCCCAGCCCTATATTTCCCTGAACCCTTGTCCTACCTTTGTTGAGTCTTCTAAATCCCAAACCCAGGAAGGCCCCAGGGGCTCCTCTGAGTGAATCCCAACAGATCGGAAGTGTGTGCTGTGTGCTTAGGAAAGTAACTAGTTTCAGATTAATGAAGCAGTGACAATTTCAATCTGCTTAAAGGCGGAGGTTGGCACTGCCCAGGCCTGAGCGTGGGGAGCTCGCCAGGCTGGGCTTTATATTGTCCGCTTTTCTGAAGAGCAGACAAAGATGGATAGAGAGACATTGAAAAGCAGGGGGCGTATTTCAAACAGCCCCATAAAGAGGGCTGTCACTTTAAGACAAGAACCATAGTGCTTTGATGACTTTGTATTAGCTGCCCCATTTCAAATAAGAAACTCAAGTCTCTAGTGAGAGGGAGAGCGAGCGAGCGAGCGAGCGAGAGAGAGAGAGAGAG